TCAGAAGACGCACACCACCTCTCTTCAGACTTCTCAGACTGCCTCCTTACAGTCTTCTCAGACTGCCTTCTCTCAAACTTCTCACACTGCCTCCCCTCACAATTCTCAGACTGCCTCCCATCAGACTTCTCATGCTGGCTCCCTGCAACAACCACCCGGCGGCAGGAAGTGGGCGAAGCCAGTCGACGATGCAGACAAGGATGCTGCACGCGTCGGCGCCTTCGTGTCGCTAACGACGAGCTTCGCCGCAGCGAGGCATCTCCCCGACAACGACGACGACGACGACGACGACGACGACGACGGGGAATTCGCGATTGTCGACGAGCCGTTTGTGTTTCGCCGACGTTTGACAAAGGAAGTCGCCAGGAGCGCAGCTAGGATTGCCAGCAAGAGCGCAGCCAAGATCCCTGGCAAGAGTGCAGCCAAGAGTGCAGCCAAGATCGCCAGCAAGAGCCCTGCCAAGAGTGCAGCCAAGAGCTCTGCCAAGAGCCCCAGCAAGTCTGCGAATGCTTCGACGAGCGGGAAGAGCGGGGCGAGACGGTCGGCCGATCCTGCTGACGTGTCATCGGATGCGGAGATGAACGGGCCGACGGATGACGGGACGCTGCGCGGGGTCGAGAGAACGCAGAGGAAGACAGACGCGAGCGCGAGGAGAGGAAGTTCGGATGCGGGCGAGGCGAGCGCGCCGAACGAAGCTCGCAGGGTCTCGTCGCCACGGAAACGAGCTACGGTCGACGACGACGACGACGACGCGCCGTTGATGAGGACGAAACGAGGGCGAGGGCGAGGGCGAGGGCGAGGGCGAGGGCGCGCAGGGGTGCCGGCGTCGCGAATGAGGAAGGCCCGCATGATCGTCGACGACGACGACGGAGGCGACGGCTCGGAGGAGGAGCCGCCGCTGAAGAGCGCGCGGCAGTTTGTGCCGCGCGACGGAGAGGAGGGTCTGAGGATGGCCACGCTCCAGACACCCATCTCCGAACCCGACCGCACGGCCAACGACACCGGTAACGTCTAGTTAGATCCGCACTCGCGGTTTGGTACTGCCAACGACACCGGTAACGTCTAGTTAGATCCGCACTCGCGGTCTGGTACTGCCAACGACACCGGTAACATCTAGTTAGATCCGCACTCGCGGTCTGGTACTGACAACGACACCGGTAACGACTAGTTAGATCCGCACTCGCGGTCTGGTACTGACAACGACACCGGTAACGTCTAGTTCTATCCTCAGTCTGACATGGTGCTGCGTTCGTAGGAGAATTCGTTTGAGAGTCGTCGGTCAACGAATACTGCAGATGAAAACCATTGAGGTTTATTTCTCTGACGGGCCAACTCGTTCTTTTGCTTTCGCATCCTTGTTGCTCCTCTGACTAAACCTGTTGATTTAGAATATTTCGGAAATTCATTTACAAGTAAAGATGAGATTTTTGAAGGCTGAATTTTTAGCTCACCTTGACATCGCCAAGATGAGCTATTGCCATGGGGTGTCGTACGTTTGTCCGTCCGTCCGTCAACAATTGGCTACGGTCAACGATAACTCAAGAACCGTTTGACCCACATGTTTCAAATTACATACAGTTGTTATACTCCTGTGGTAGAGGTTTGAACGTCCTATTTTGGAGCACGCCAGGCGACCTAATTTCGAGCCACGTCCACTTTTTGGCAAAAATGGAAATGGCCATAAGTCAGTTCAGGTTCAACGGATTTTGCTCATTTCTGGTATGTGAATGAATAAGGACTAGTCCCAAAACATATCACACAGGTTTTGAATTTTTTATTATTATTACGCAAATTAGGTAGATTCTAGCAATTTCACTATGCATTTCAGTGTCTGCCTACGGTCAACGATAACTCAAGAACCGTTTGACCCACATGTTTCAAATTGCATACAGTTGTTACTCATATGGGAGAGATTTGAACGTCCTATTTTGGAGCACGCCAGTCGACCTACTTTTGAGCCACGCCCACTTTTTGGCAAAAATGAAAATGGCCATCTAGATTCATTTGATTTTGTTAAATTTTGGTATATGAATGTGTAAGGCTAGCCTCAAAACAGTTGTTATGGGAGAGATGACAATTCCTATTACGTTTATTTCGTCTAACTGGTTAACAACTATAATCATACCTATATACATGTAATATTGTGTTTTAGATTCTTCGTTACATTAATTTGACGAATATTTTATTGTTTTTATTTGGGCGATATTCGAAAACCAAAATGGCGGTCATTTAGGCGTAGCGCCATCTCTCGTCAAGATTTCAGACTTTCAGATCTGAAACATTTATTTTCGCATCAAAACTTATGCATATATCATTATCAAGAGTATATAATGAGAGATATGCTATATAATGGGAGTTCTCCCATATATACTCTTGCTTTATATATCCCCCCTCCTTCTATCACACCCAAGGTGAGCTACAGTGTCATTGACACTTTCATTAAATGATGCCAGTGGTCTGAACTATGTGTAGTGTGGCCTGTTCTGTAAGTTATCTGTTTTGTTCTCATTATAGTACTATGGAGGAGTGGGCCCAGCATATGGAGGAAGAGCCTACCAGCACTATCACAGTCATGTGAATTTACCGATCGTACTAATTCCTCAGGTAGTAACTCATGATCACTGGAAACTCGCACTGCTGGTGTGTAGCCACGAGACGTTACCCGCTCTCCCACCCTGATTCTTTTTCTTCCTACCGTCTATGAATGAAACTTTCTTCTTCCAGTTACCTTTACCAGGCAGGCAGCACATGTTCCTGTCGAAACCCATAGCAGTGACTTTGTCCTCATGTATTCGTGCATAAATACAATGTCACTGGTCCTAATCAAGTTGTGCCCTTTCTATGAGAGCATCATTACTGAACTGTATTTCCATCACGTCTGCCGAGATGGGGCCAATTTATGCTGACTCATGCCGTGTCACAGCTGTGTTTTCACTGATCCTTTTGTGTTTGTTTCCTTCTAGTTTGTAACACTTCAGCTACATGATGACCTTTTTCGTTGTCTCTGTTCCTGTGTAGATGTCAGTGTTATGACTTACATAGTCTCCCCACGACGATAATCACCATCTGACGTTCTCGAGAAAAAAATAGTCACCACGTTTAAAACCTAAAGTTTGCATGTCAGCTTTAGAAGGACTGCACTTTCACAATAGTTTTAACTGTGGTAGGGATTCTACATTAGAAGTGTTTTTGATAAGATAATAGTCTGTGCAAAACATTGCTGGGAACTAGGAACATGTTAAAATTGATCGATAACTTTGATGGCATTGAATTCTTCGCAGACGAGATCAGATGCATGTCTTCACCAGAGAACCTGTCACCGATAGAAGCTCCAGGGAGCTCAAAGATTCCATCGAAAAAGCGAGCATCGAATAAATCGAAGAGAAAGTCAGGTTTGTATTATATATGAAGGTTGTGAGTGATTTGTTGTGATTGTTGCGACCCATGCAAACATCATTCCATCATCTGAGAACGTATGGCTCTAGCCATTTTGCAAAAGCGACCATCGATCGCACAATTTGCACCATAGTCCAGTCATAAAGTGCACTCCAGTGTTCTCTTCAGGGTGAAATTGAAACAGGGGGGGAGGGGAGGGGGAGGGGGGAGGGGAAACTAGGGGGGTCCGGGGGCCTGGTCGAATCACTGGCAGCAAGAACAAGTCCGCACCTGCAGCTACAACACACACGCATCTATTGACTATATATAACAACATTATATATAGTTATATATAACTACTATAACAACTATAGCTACTATAACAACTATAACAACTATATATAACGTTGTTATATGCGTTGTTATATATAGTCAATAGATGCGTGTGTGCTGTAGCTGCAGGTGCGGACTTGTTCTTGCTGCCAGTGGGTCGAATGGGAATTCTTGCCGAGGTGGCCCCTCAATTGCCAGTAGCAGCAGCGCCTCCAAAGCTGACTCACTCAGCCTGTTCCTCATGTAGCCATTCCCATTAAAAAACAAAACAAACAAAAACCGCGAGCGCGCCCGGTTTGCGCAACGTAGGGAGAAGCCTGCACTCTACCGGGAAATCGAGTGAAACAAGCTGGATTATTCACTAATGTGTTGGTATTGGTCCATATAAACCCCCCCAAAAAAGTTACAAAATTTTCGTTGGTCCGAACTCTTCCTGGACGATTGTGATACAATAGTTCTATTAAAGGACAAATAATATTCTATTGTTTGTATTCAATCAAATCCTATGTGCATGATTCTTTATCGAGTATCTGGGTTGTTGAGTTCGTAAAGCTTCGTAATCAATACTTGTTTAAATTTAAACAGTAACGCGTATGGTTATTAATGATCGATCTATAACACTTTTTAGGGATGAATCATACTTCTGAGTGTTTAAATAACACCAGAATTCGATCGGGCATCCAAAAAAAACCCAGAAAGCATACCTAACATGCCATATGTCAGAAAACACCGAAATTTTGGTACGCGAAAATCGGAAAAAGGGCTTGGCTCGTAAAAAAGTTTCCGACCAACGAAAAGTTTGTAACTTTTTTGGGGGGTTTATATGGACCAACTTGTTTCACTCGATTTCCCGGTAGAGGCCTTATTTGGCACTTTATGACTGGACTACCACGGTGGTAGTGAACTCTGTGTGACTCTGACTCCTACTACGTTGCAGCACCTGTGAGCGTAACCGATGAAAACGATGATGCTGTGGAAGGAGATGCTGAGTCAGAGGAGGAGGAGGAGGAGGTTCATCGGAGGATGCAAGCATCCACACCAATGCCTTCTGCAGGGCAAAGTATGGAAACTGTTTCTCGCCCGTCAGTAACGAATGCCATTCTTACAAGCTGTCAACATCAGCGTGAATAATAGTTAATATTAATAATAAATTTACTCAAAAGTCTTGTATTTATCATCAATGTATTTATTTCAGCTGCAGACGTTCCTCATGTTTATTTATACCGATGCGATCGCTATAGTGCAGTAAGAGCTTGTGGGTTGCGGCGCGAGTTTTCGTTGAATCGTATTCCGAATGTGTTTTATCCAGAATTAATGTCAATTTCAGCAAAGACTCCAGCGTCCATTCTTAAGAGAAGGAGGGCGGGATACAGCACAATGACCTCTATGGGTGGAATGCCGCAGCATTATTTTGAAATGACGCGCGGCATGACACCGGCAACCATCAATATACTTCAAAATAAAAAAGTCGTGTGTAAGTCTTTTTGTCACTGTATCTGTCTATCTGGGTGTTGTTCTAATAGACTTATATCATATTTGCCGTGATTTGCTGTCAGATCAATTATGTGCTTTTGAAAATAAGTTTGTCTCTTTGCGCTTGTTCATCTGCGAAAATAACTAGCTTACTTTTCTGTTATTGCAAAGTTCCTTGATCATGCACTGACAGGCGCAATTGATGCTCAAATGATACTAATGTATACTTCTTTGTAATCGTAATTTGTAATTATCGCCATCACGTACCTTTACGATGGATCATGGGTATACTCTATTCGGTAGTTCATCCAGACTGGGACGAGACACAATTGAAGGCTCAAGGTCTACGAAGGTCGGAAAGAAATAGGGTTCCACCGCTAGCCTTTTGGAAGAATGAGCGCATCATATACGAGAAACGTCAGTCTGGTGAGTGCAACAATATGCTATATTGTCTTAATACTAGCATTCCAGTTGAAAGCATAGCCTCTCGTGTAATTTCTGCATGTTTCACAATCTATTACAATTATGCATGCATTAAATCACATAAATTTTGCGACGTTGTATTACGCGGTTATGCTCAATCTGTACAGTGCGTATTGATATATGTGTAACGAAGCTACTCGTTAGCGGGGTGGGACTACTGGCGATCTAAGTCTAGGCGTGGGTAGGTGTAGGCATATGGGTAGATGCAGGAGTGGGAATACGCAAACCAACAGAGATAGACAACAACTAGTAGTAACGTACCACATTGGTTTATATTGTCCGACATGACAAACTAGATTTGAGATACAGGATAGGTAATACAAGATATGAACGCTGGAGCAAACGATGAACAAGAGTCCGTCAGGAAGACAGCCAAGTTCTCCCCAGCTCGGCTAATGCCTTCGCTTTTTAAGTCTGTCTTTAATTGGTTATCATAAACCCGCGCCTTAGTGACACGTTTCTCACGGCGCGAGTTTCTCACGGTGCGATTTCGAGAGCAGGTGGTCCTCCACCATCGCCTCTTCTCCTTTGTCGCACCTAGGTGTCACCATCGGGATTCATTCCCCGATGGGCGGGCTCGGATGTAGCCGGATGTGCCTGTGTATAGATTAGTGGGAGATATTCATTGTTTTACAGTTTTAAACGATAGTGCTTAACAAATGCATTAAAATGTCTTTCGTTCTCTCTCACAGGCGTTGGATTCAAAATCGCTGGTATTGCTTCTCCCATTAACGATACTCCGAATAAGAGGAAGGCACAAAAACCCGTCAAGAAGCACAAGCGTACGTATACATGTGTTGTAGTCTTTAGCTCAGGACAAACTATGGCAGAACCCCTACTCATAAATATTTACATAATTGTGTCATTATGTCTGTGTGTCCATCACTTGGTGTACATATAACATGTGCATGCGTCTTACCGAAATGGTGAACGTTCTTTTAGACATTCTTTCATTGTTACATCTGACGTTCTCATTGCTCCGAAAAAGTTATCCTAAATGTTTGTGTACAGATATGTCATATTGCTTGTTGTACTTCTTTTATGTCTAGTTATGTCTTTTTTTTGTATGCTCTGACTAATCAAGTTTAGCTCACATTTATTTATTTATTTATTGTATTTAGCGATTTTTTTCAGCAACTCATTTTTATATGAATTTTATGACTGTAGTATGCTCTGATTGAGTGGCAAATAGTGAAGCATACGTAACAATAATTATATACACCGGTGTAGGATGGCTATGCACACTATGTAGCAAGTGTATGCCTTTTGAGAACATATATATATCATCAGGGGTGAATAATGACAAATTCTTTGTTAAATTAACTTGACAAATTCTTTGTCAAATTTTACAAAATTTTGTCAATTTTAATTGAAAAAAAATTATCTTGACAAATTAATTTGTCATTATTTACGCCTGATATCATGTATCATGTGATATCACACACACACTCATGCATTCATTGCACCACGCAGGTCTTCCGAAGACGCCGAGAAATTTATCCATTCACGTGCCTCTGGATGACAGTGATGTTCAGGAGGTACCAGACATGGTCAAGGTCTTTGATCGTGAGCAGCAGGAAGAAGTCTGGATGGGTAAGCAGGCAGTGACACAGGGTTATTAATTAATTAATTAATAAGTGATTTAATTAAATCAAATCTATTTACATCTTGACTAAATCCTTAATGCATGCTGTATACAATAACATCCTGGTTGGCGCGCAACAAATGTTAGAAAACGGAGCCCTAACCAAAACAGTGCTCTACAGGGTCATGCTCACAAGGTGCTAGCAGTCATCTGGAATGCTAGTGAATTGTAGTGGCTGTGCCTATGGTCCTTGCTTCCTGGCCTTCAGCCCCCTACATTCCGATTAATTAAAAAAAACAGTTAATGTTGCAATGCAAGTTTTTAGTTTTACAAGACATTTCAGAGGTTGCTACATAAACAATCTGGTAAATACAGTGACCAGTTCATGCAGTTTTTTTCCAGATGTTTTAAAATTGTGTTGTACTACGTCACGAATTTTCTATGGTAAAATTTGTTAAAAAAAATTGCCTTAAAAGTAAGAACTAACGGGACTAAATAAATCGTCAAATTCTTACCTGATAAGATTGTTTCTCAACTAGTTAAAAATCCAAAAAACCTGGACGATTTGACTTAATGTTCTCAACATTAATTGCTTGCTATGGGCTATGTATGGGTCACGAGTGTATGTTCACATCGAACAATATAGTAAAATAGGAAGTATAATGCAGCAATTTAACCATAAAATGTGAACAGAATTACTTATATTTTGTGAAAAAATGGAAATATTTTTTTATTTTTTTATTATTTACGGTGACGTAATCACTTTAAAGATTTAAGATTAGGTTGCGAGATGAAATCCTTCAAATATCATACCTTACATATATTTATATAGGATATATATATATATATATATATAGAATGTATATATATGTGTACCCGTATCCTTGGACCTTGGTGTGTATGTGTGTATGTACATGTGGTCAGTGCAGGTAGAAAGACAGTTTTTCAAGCCCAAAAGAAATGCGTTTCATGTCGAGAATCGACTGTGAACGAGAATTAAATTGAATTAATCTTCGCATACTATGTGTAGTCTACTGGCGTTGTATCGTCTGCGCGTGTGGTAAATTAATACGTGCGACTCTACGTCACTACAATGCTGCTGCCTTTCAGAGTGCGTTAAGCCCTACGAGAGCCACTACTTTGTCGGACCCTTCGGCGAGCCGGCTATGCACGACGACCCCATTATACTGAGCAGGATGGTGCAGCAGCGGAAATTCACCATGGGCGAGCTGATTATCCACCCGCTGCAGAGAAGGAAGTCTCGTTCGTCCGCTCCGGTACGATGGTGAGCATCGCTAGCTGCTTGCTGTACTCGGGACAATCTTCGTTAGCGATGGTCGGGGGCAGAGGGTGTGGTGGTCTGTAACGATGTATGCTTGTGTGTAAATGTGAACTGCAGATGCGTGAGATTCGTGTGGCCTAGATGTAGGTTTAGATGTTGCCTAGATGTTGTTGATGGACTTGCATGCGTGAAGTTAAGGCGACCAGCCCCTGCCTTACTACTTATATCCTACTCATATACCTATACCCTACTTATACTTATACCTATACCGCTACTTATAATCTATACGCTTACCCTACGTTATACTTATACTATACCTACTTATTACTTATACCTATACCCTACTTTAACTTATACTATACCCTATTATACTTTACCCTATACCCTATTATAATATACCATAACCCTACTTTACTTATCCGTATACCCTACTCTAATACTTAGGACTCCTCCTCTCCCTATACCCTACTTCATACTTATACCTATACCCTAACTTATACTTATACCTTATACCCTACTTATATACTTATACCTACACCTCTACTGGTATACTTTTATCCTTCATTTACCTATACCCTACTTATACTTGATACCTTATACCCTACTTATACTTATACGCTCATACCCTACTTTATACTTTAATACCCTACACCTACTTATATTATACTTTATACCTATACCCTCTTTGTTTTTTTTTCTTTTTTTTTTTTTTTTTTTTTTTTTTTTTTTTTTTTTTTTTTTTTTATTTTTTTTTTTTTGTTGTTTTTTTTTTTTTTTTTTTTTTTTTTTTTTTTGTTTTTTTTTTGTTTTTTTTTTTTTTTTTTTTTTTTTTTTTTTTTGTCTTTCTTTTTTTTTTTTGTTTTTTTTTTTTTTTTGTTTTCTTTTGTTTCTATTATACCTCCACCCTACTTATACTTTATACCTATACCTATTTACCCGTGACTAATATCACTGTTATAACCTATTAACGCGCTACTTTAAATATTACCTATTACCCTTACTTATACTTTATACTCTACTTATCCTATACCTACTTATACTTTTACCTATACCCTTACTTTATACTTATACGTATTACCCCACTTATACTTATACCTATGTACCCTACTTATACTTATACCATATACCCCTACTTATAACTTATAACGTAATACGCCCTACTTATTACTTATATAAAAACCCCTATACCCTACTAATATACTTTATCACGCTTATTACCCTACGTTATACTTATACGTATACCCTACTTTATACTCTCATTACTATACCCTATTATTACTTTACTTATACCCTTACTTATACTTAATACCTATAGCCCTACGCTTACCTAATACCCTACTTATACTTATACCTTACCCTACTTATACTTTATACCTATACCTGTAATACTATACCCATACTTATACTTATACCTATACCCCCTACTTGATACTTATTACGTATTACCTACTTATACTTATACTATACCCTACTCTATATTATCCTATACCCATACTCTACTACTTATCACGTACTACCTATTTACTACCTTATACCTATACCTACTTATACATTTATACTGGTATAGCTACTTATATTAATACGTATTACCCTACTTTAACTTTATACCTCACTACCCTATTTATACTTATACCCTATACCCTACTTATATCTATACCTCATACCCTACTCTATTTACTTACTACCTCACTCACGCCTACTCGAACTTATACCTATACCCTACTTATTAATTATACCTATACCTACTTATAACTCTATACGGTATTCACCCTACTCTCATACTTATACCTAGTACCCTCACTTATTACTTTTTATTACCTATACCCTACTTATACTTATACCTATACCCTACTTATTACTCTATACCTTACACCTCACTTAGACTATATTACTTATCACCTATCACCCTACTTAATACTTATACCTAGACACCTACGTATACTTATACGCTATACCCTACTCTTATACTTATACTAACACCCTCTCTATACTTATTACTTATACCTATACCCTACTTTGTACTCTATACCTACACCCTACTTTATACTTATACCCTATACCTATACCCTGACTTTACTTACTACCTTATTTCACCCTACTATATAATTATACCTATAACCCTATTATACTTATCACCTACTACCTATACCCTACTTTATTACTTATACCTAACCCTACTTATAATACTTATACGTATACCCTACTTTATATCTTATTTACCTATTACGCCCCCCACCCCCCACTTATACTCTATACATATACCCTACTGTATACTTCTTACGTATACCCTACTTATACTTATACCTATACCCTACTTTACTGCTATCACTATACCCTCCCACCTTATACTTATTACCTATTACCCTACCGCTATACTATACCCCTACGTATACTATTCATACCTATACCCTATCTTATACTTGTACTACCTATACCTAATCAACTGATACCCTACTTACTACTTCGATACCTATAACCCTACTTATACTCTACTACCGTATCCCTCCTTATCACTCTATACCCTATCACCCTACTTATAGATATACCTCATACCCTCTTATACTATATACGGTATATCCTATTTACTACTTATACTTATGTACCCTACCTTATAATTATTTACGGTATAGCCTACTTATACTTAATAACGTATACCTACTTACTACTTATACTATTTACCCGATTTGATACTTATACCTATACCCCTACTTATAATTATTACCTATACCCTTTATATATATACTGATACCCCACTTATACTTATACCTATACCCGATTCTATTACTTATAAACTATACCCTACTTATACTTATACCTATACCCTACTTATACTTATACCTATACCTATACCCTACTTATACTTATACCTATACCCTACTTATACTTATACCTATACCCTACTTATACTTATACCTATACCTATACCCTACTTATACTTATACCTATACCTATACCCTACTTATACTTATACCTATACCCTACTTATACTTATACGTATACCCTACTTATACTTATACCTATACCCTACTTATACTTATACCTATACCCTACTTATCATCTATATGTTTTTAAATAGATTATCTTATCTGCATGTACAATAGTTGTAATATTGTGTCGGTCGCTCGTCTCATTGTGCATTTTCTTTTATTTTGCAGATGTTCAGAATCATAGTAGGAAAGATGCTAGTCACGATACACAATACGACGATCACGATGGAGTCTGGAGGCTCTTTCTTTGTACCTGCAGGTATGACCCAATGTCATCCACGTGTCTGCCTTAGCTCCTTAACAGAAATCTTGAAACAACAGAAACAGGCGCAATCCTAAGAATGCAGTGCTACACTTACATCAGTCTTCTCTTAGTTTGTGTGAACGATACCTTCCACGTTCGTTCGTAGACGAGTTACTTTACCGATAAGTTATTACTTATCATAGATTTTCCTTCTTAACTGGATTGGAAGTAAACACAAATTCCACTATGTGACATTCACATTTGGCAGCGCAGAATAGTGAGTTCTATCAATGCAAAAACCGATTGGCAATTGTACAAAAGACATCATTTCTGTGGAATCAAAGTATCGAGTCAGGAGGTTGATTTTGTATCCACTCACAACCCAGTTCAGAAGATTAGTCAGCGTTGTTTACAGATGGGTGTTGTACCCTCGTTGGATCGTGTGTAAATTGTTCCTGTTTGTATTCGTAATGATGATTGATTGAATTATATACTAGTGGCATCTGCATCGTGTGTAGGAATTGTACAGAGAAACCTTGATTTTACGAGCCCCGATTTAGCGCGAATTCGGATATAACGTGACGAGTCATTGGACCTTTTTGTTTGCTCTTTCCGGAATTGAAGTTTTTTTGGTGAGTTAAGCCGGCCTTAGGTCATTAAGTTTCAAAGGTATTCAAAGGTTTCTTTATGTTCAAAGGTAATTTACTTGCCAGAAGGTAAACGTGCAAAAAACGGATCAAATAGGGTGAAAATAGGAGTGTTTTAGGATGTTATGTCAACATTGGGTCAGTTTATATGCTGATTTTCTTGAACCCCGATTTAGCACGACCCCGCTTTTTTCGCGATGACATTTTATGGACCTCAACGATCGCTTTATAAGGGGGCCACACTGTACTCATAATGTCAATGTGCTTACTCTAGGAAACACGTACAGCATCAGGAACTTGAGGAATGATGATGCGAAGCTGTCGTTCACCCAACTGAATGACTGATTTTTCCGGACAGTAACTACTTGCGATGATCGTAGTGACACAAACCTGCGTCTGCGTCAGCGTGTATATTGTTACACAGATGGCGCCAGTCGACGAGTGGAGAGTGTGAGGTATTATTATCCCATCGTCGAGAGAGTAACTTGTTCCGAGTCTCTCATGAGGTGCTTGTATAAAATAAGTGCAAGTTACATTAATATTGGTTACATTAGCTGGTGCTCATTTCCTGGCAAATGTCTTTCTATTTAGTCTTTTAGTAGTTATGCATTGTTTTACACCGTTATACAGTAGGCACTGTATAAATAGATAATTGGCATGCCCTCATAAACATATTGTAAATATAATGTGAATCTTTCACACATGTATGTAAACCTAGAAGAGTTAATGGTAATCTTGAAAATTGGATGTAACCGTAGCGAACTTTCTTTTTTTGCATTAGTTGTACATAGTCATGATTTTGGGAGGTTGCCAGTTTCAAGTAATATTGTGAAGATTTCAAACAGTGACAGGCAAATTTCGCACTTAGTTCTCCATCAGAGTGCAATAGTAAATATAGCATTTATATATAACAGGGTTCATTTTTACTCAACCGTGAAGATTGGAAACGTACCGCTTATGTTTCGCCTCCTGTCAGGAGGCTTTCTCAAAGCTAACTGATGATAATCAGCTTTGACTACCAGATGGTGTGGTGGTCAATAGCTTAGTCCACACGTGACTAAGCCTGTATCCCCCCTCGTCCCGGTTGATGTTTGGGGTCTTGTGGATCTTTTGACCACCACACCATCTGGTGGTCAAAGCTGATTATCATCAGTTAGCTTTGAGAAAGCCTCCTGGCAGGAAGCGAAACGTAAGCGGTACGTTTCCAATCTTCACGGTTGAGTAAAAATTAACCCTGTTATATATATTAGTCTACTAACCGAATGAACTTATTTAATGAATATAGCATTTGTTACAAATATTTTACCAAGGTGCACTGAATGTAGAAAAAACAACAAGCTGGATTATGGCTGTTTTGTATCTACTCATTGTAGTTACAGGACATGGAATTTTGTACATGCAGCTCATTCATTTAACACACCGTTGTTCTTCCGCATTCCATTCGTTGTAATTTTTATACCAATTTTCAGGAATTATTATACTTTTGTTATTAAATGTGGATATGAAATGCAGATTATATATTAGGGAATATATTATGACCGTTGTCCGAGTGTGGACTTGGCTACCGAAATGACACCGACAGATCATACTATCACTCCATTTCTACATGTTAGTTCAATGTTCACAGTGGCTTTATTACACTTGAAAGAATTCAAATTTTTATTAGGGCCATTTCAGTTCATGCTTTCCTTAGATATTAATTGACACGATAATAACACACATTTTGAGCCCTCGTGCCAATAATCTGAATATAATTTGCATTAGGGGTGCAATGCATCGGAATTATGAAGTTCTTGCTCAATTGCAACTTTAGCTTGAAATAAACATCACAGTTTTGGTCCTATGCCGTGCAAAATTCCTTAACCAGTTAACCTGAACATAATAGCGCTAGCTGGCACATCACTTGGTCGAGTAATGACAAGATGGCTACAACATTATTGTTGGGAGTATGACTCAGCTGCTTAATTGGGTCATTTGATATATTCCTGAGTACAATTCGGCAGGAAATTTGGACAGGCTGGAATGCCAAAATGATAATTACCTGCCAGTAATATCGTTTTAGTTTCTAGTAACCATAATGAAACTAGAAAAATATTTCAGTTACAGGCGACTGTTTATAAGTAGTTCCGCCCAAAACCAAAAAATTGGGATTCCGGCCAGAACTAGACATATTCAAGATCCAATGCACCCCTAAGGCTAATACATGTAATCCTCCACGTGTAAAAATAAACTTCATTATTAATTTAATTATACCATCGCCCAACCTCACCGATCACTGCAATCACATGATCTGAATATATAATACAATTAATACTATTAGGGATTCACAATCCAAACCTTTAGTTCGTCGACTCGACTGTGACAGCGCCTGTATATATTAACCGCTAGCCCGTGGGCGCACTATAGTTCTACTATATCTGCGTGAGACGCACTGGTGGCCGCGCGCGCAACACGCGAGCCTGCTTCTCGTGATGCTGCGCGATCGCCGTGATCATGATGACGCCCGTCGGGTTGACACGGCAGCTGAACGTATCGTCCGGACTCATGAAGCCGTAGTATCTGTTGGTAAAGATCTCCTCTACTTCGTATCCGCCGCTGTCCAGCAATCCTAGCTGCTTGAGTGCGATGGAGAGCTTCACTGGGCCTCCTGTGAGTGCAAAAAGCCGGTAGGTGTTATAGAAAATTGGCCGCGGAGGCCAATCGTGGCACGTATCAGTTCATCTAGGTTTTGTGAATACAAGTTTGATATCTTCCGTACTGTGGCCCATATGATCATCATGTCACTAAAGCTACATCCGTGATGTATGCACCAAACTTGTGCGTAATGAACGCAGGCTGTGGTTCAATCAAACTCGCACCGACTGGAACTACAGCGGCAACGAAATGTTTATTGTGCAATTATTTATTTACAAATACATATTCACAATTAGATGCGAGCCAAACTCACAAAAAAACGTGGCTAATTTGTGCTTTGTCGTTTAGCAGCTTGATTGTAAAATCGCGCGTGCGTGATGCATACGCCGGCCGCTCTCACCGTTGTCGTCACGGTTGAGTATCACCACAGCCTGACTGCCGGGCGGGGAGATCGGACGTGACCAGACTTCAACCCGAGGTCGCTCCAGGTGCAGTGCCTTTCTAGCGGGTAGCTGCACCTGCCCCACAGGCTTGCCCTGCATGCCCAGCACGTCCTGATTGACGGCCAACACTTTCCTGTCATTCAACGACAACGACGCATGGAATTAGTTGGATGCAGTGACGTCCGCTAGATACCTCAGATATCGTCAGGAGTGTATATTATCTACACTATATATATCGTATAATAGTCTATATTATACACTCCTGATATCGTTACTATTTGTGAGAGCAGAATATCGTCGGACGAGCAGCAAAGTGTGAACACCTGGTACCACACGCACATGAAAAGAAACCTCGCATCTCATTCGTGGAAACCCAAGTACAAATCTGCGTATGGCGTTTTTACTTTGATATACCCTGTATGCCTAATGTACTCTACTACCACCACGATAAAGCCAATTGAATAAAACGAATTCGACGCCACCTGTTGAGCAGGATCTCGCGGAACTCCGGCCGGATGTTGCGAAGGTCGTTCGACATGTACAGCGGCGCTGCGAGGACGGCCCACATCGCCATCTGCGCCCTCGACTGCTCGTAGCTGAGCCCGAAGTCGCCAACGATGAGCATGTCGGGGTCGTTCCACGCGCCGGGCGCCGCGACGGGCTGGATGTGCGCGCTCGCGTTGCGGTAGTAGTCGAAGACGCCGAGCACGCTGCGCCACGAGTCGGCGATGTCCGCGTAGACGCGCCACAGGTTGCAGTGGCGCGCGAGCACGGTGAAGTTTGCGTGCGGGTCGTACGCGGGCCAGCTGCACGAGTACTGCACGCGACGGCCCGTTGCGTTCAGGTGCCGGCCCATCGCGACGTAGCCCGCCGCCATGTCCTCGATCTTCGCGTAGCAGCCGTCGAATTTCAGGCCGTCCACCTGTGGAGCGAGGCAACGAAACGTGTTTCTATTGGACGTCGCGCGCAGCTGTGTACCTTCGCGTAGCAGCCGTCGAACCTCAGGCAGTCCAGCTGCGGAGCGAGGCAACAAAAATTTGGACCCACCATGAGTCAGCCGACTTCCCCCCCCCTAAAGGTGTACACCTGACTCCCCACCACCACCACCCACCCTTCCCAAAGGTGTACACCTGACGTCCCCACCACCACCACCAACCCCTCCCAAAGGTGTACACCTGACGTCCCCACCACCACGCAACCGCCTCCAAAGGTGTACACCTGACGTCCCCGCCACCACCCACCACCACCCTCCCAAAGGTGTACACTGACGTCCCCACCACCACCACCCCCCTGCCCAAAGGTGTTACACCTGACGTCCCCACCACCACCACCACAACCTGGCCAAAGTCTACCCTGACGTCCCACCACCACCCACCCTCCCAAGGTGTACACCTGACGTCCCCACACCACACCACACCCCTCCAAAGTGTACACCTGACGCTCCCACCACCCGCCACCCCACAACCCCTCCAAAGGTGTACACCTGACGTCCCACCACCACCACCCACCCCTCCCAAAGGTGTACACCTGACGTCCCCACCACCACACCACCCTCCAAAGGTGTACACCTGACGTCCCCACCACCACCACCACACCCCTCCCAAAGGTGTACACCTGACGTCCACCACACCACCAACCCTCCCAAAGGTGTACACCTGACGTCCCCACCACCACCACCCACCCTCCCAAAGGTGTACACCTGACGTCCCCACCACCACCACCAACCCTCCCAAAGGTGTACACCGTGACGTCCCCCACCACCACCCACCCCTCCCAAAGGTGTACACCTGTACGTCCCCCACCACCACCACCAAACGGCTTCCCCAAAGTGTACACCTGACGTCCCCACCACCACACCCCACCCCTCCCAAAAGGTGTACACCTGACGTCCCCCACCACACACCCACCACCCCTCCCAAAGGTGTACACCTGACGTGCCCCACCACACCACAACCCCTCCCAAAGGTGTACACCTGACGTCCCCACCACCACCACCCACCCCTCCAAGGTGTGACACCTGACGTCCCCACCACCACCACAACCCCTCCAAAGGTGTACACCTGACGTCCCACCACCACCACCCACCCCTCCCAAAGCTGTACACCTGACTACCACCCACCACACCTCCCAAAGGTGTACACCTGACGTCCCCACCACCACCACCCACCCTCCCAAAGGTGTACACCTGACGTCCCCACCACCACCACACCAACCCCTCCCAAAGGTGTACACCTGACTACCCACACCACCCACACCCTCCCAAAGGTTACGGTCGTGCTCGACTCGCCGCCCCGCCACGACGTACGTACCTTCCACTTTGCAAACAGCTCTGCGTCCTGCTTCAGGTAGTTACTTGGCTGCCCGGCTAGCCGCCGCAGCGTGAAGTTGCCAAAGTCTCCGTAGATGGCCAGCTTGAGTCCCGCGCGCATGCATCGTAATCGGCCAGCCACGCAATGCCGTGCGGGAACGCGCTCGTGATCCGCCACCAGGTTGCCGTCGGCGTCGCGCTGCTCTCTCTCCGCCCAGCAGTCGTCGATGGCACGAAGTCGTTAGCCGGCGGCTGAGGTAGCCGTCGCGTTGACCATGCGGTCGGCCATGTCTGCGAACGCATGGGCGCGGCGGCGCGTCGAGGAATGCGCGCGAGAAATGATACACTTATACATTATATATTTATGTCGATAAAACGGCAACACCAAGCTGTTAGCCGTGCGACACCATGGTGTACCTTTTTATGCAATAACACTGTAATTTTAACATATTACATTATACACATCCTAGAACTGTATATAATATGGTAGCTCATAGAAAATCAGTCTCCTTGTTATAACGAAAACTTGTTAAAATGATTAGAGGATATTTATTATTTACATGATAATTTATGATAATGCAAACATCGTGCATTTGCTCACGAACACAAGAGCAAGTATGACGCTTAATCATTAACTTTGACGGCCACATTTAGATCCCATTATTGGTACACGTATCGTAACCATAGCTTTCGACTCGCGAGTCAATCACTGATGGTCTTGGTGTCTCGACTATTTATCTGCACTCACCCGTGAACAGACGCTACTTAGCAGTTTTCCGGGTCATTCGCCACAGTCGATGTTGCAACGGAATCGCTCCCAGTTCATCCAGCCATAGTTGGTGTGCGTGCCATCCCATTGTCGAGCGGGTTTCACCACACAGGGCAAGCAAGATGAGTGCGAGAGCAATCGTACTTGCATGCGCCCACCTACTTGGTGGCTTCATATTTTTATGGGTGTGCAAACTGGAATTTAGATAGACAAATAGAAGAAATTAGCATTTTACTGTGGTTTGATATGAAGTTTAATAATATTATTATTTATTAATAATAATATTTGAAGTGTCTAAACAAACCGGATCGTTTCGGTATCCTGAAAACTACTACAACCGGCTCTCTTCTCTGATTGGCAATTTTGTCACTATTTCATTTTTATTATTTTTGGCTAAATTTTTACTTTATTTTATAAATTAGGGATAGGTTAGGGGTTCCGGGTCTCTTCGGCTTCGTGATAGTTAAGGTACCAGTGTTCGAACCGCCATAAGATGTTTTTTTTCCTCTGGCTTTCTGTATTTCTTTGAATTTTTTGCTTTGCATTTTTTGTTCTGTACTTTTGTTTATGTTCGGAATTAATATATTTCTTTATGTTTGCATTAAAAATTGTCCTGTTATGTTCGGAAACTGCCCAATCAGAGAAGAGACGGTTGTTTAGTTTTCAGGCCTCCGAAACCGGGTCCGGTCGTTTAGACACTACCATAATATTTCAGTGAGTTACCACTGCGGACCAGGGGGATCCAGAGGGTTTGGGTGACCAGTTCCATAGTTCTAGTCACAGCTAGGGGGGTCCGGGGCATGCCCCCGGGAATTAAAAAAAAATTAGGCTATATTTGGTGCAGCAGCACTCTGGTGAATTTTGAGGGTCAATTCTGAAGATACCCAGCCTGTGACCGGTTTCTGGAAACCGGTGCAAACCGGCCTAAATCCGCGCCTGCGGACAATGGTAGATTCAACTACTTTACTATCCACGTATAAATGTTATGATTAGGATTAGCTTTGTGTTACAGCGAAGAATGCTGATGTTGACTGTCGATGTATGCACATGGGGTCCTAAATTACGATGAGTTTAGGTACCGGTAGCTAGGTATTCGCTAGCTCCAAGAAACGGTATTGCTAGGGTTAGAATATATATGTATATTGACGTCAGTCACACAGCCATGGCCGGGTTAGGTATTCGGGACCAAGGATAGAGAACATGGGTCCCAATAAAACCAATGTGCCTAACCCTAACCCTAACCATAACCTATTATATTGATATAATATTATATCAAGAGTAGATAATAACACAAGAGTGCGGCACCCGATTCCCGCATTTTTAACGCGATTTTTTCTCATCAAAATTGCCACCATAATGAAGCAAGTGTATACGTTCCTCAGCTTATTATGACACTAATCACTCACCTTCATGGTACTGATATTTGTTTACATATATTTGCTAGCGTATTGCTGTCAATCGTAATCTTGCACGAGCTGAATTCGATAAATTTACGCGCAAAAATGGCGACTTTTTGCGAGGGTGTTTAGACAATATTAGAAGCTATCGCTGCGCCAATTTTAGCAACGGACGGTTTCCCAAATCAGCGTGCCCCGATAGGGGACTAATGTACTTGATTACCTGCGCGTGCGTAATGTGATACTTACTGCAAACTACTACAGAGAATATTATTATTGATTGTATTATTACTTATGTAGATAGTATGTCAATTTCTTGTGTTGCGATCACAATAACTGAGCGGCGTCTCGCAGGTTCTTCACCGAGATCAAATTCGAAATTTAGATTGTCTCTCAACCCTATCGGGGCAAACATGATTTGGAAACTGTGCGTTTGCTAAATATTGGCGCAGCGATAGCTTCTAATATTGTCTAAACACGCCTCGCACAAAGGCGCCATTTTGCTGGTAAATGTTATCGAATTCAGCTCGTGCCAAGATTACGATTTACAGCAATACGCTAGCAAATATATTGTAACGAATATCAAGTACGATGAAGGTGAGTGATTAGTGGTAAATAAGCTGGGAACGTCTACACTTGCTTCTTTATTGGGCAAATTTGAATGAGAAAAATCCGCGTTAAAAATGCGGGAATCGGGTGCCGCAGCTTTGTGTTTATATCAAAGCTCGACACTAGCGGTGGCCCGGTGGCCCGGGGCCACCCAAAACTTGATGCTCAGGCCACCAACCAATTCCAAACAGTGAAATTGTGGCCGATCAGGCCTACTAAATTTCAAAGTGTCTATGTGATACAAATCATTGTTCTTACGTGCTAAATCTACATTCAAAAGGGGGGGGGGGGGGGGGGGAGCGAGAATTCGCGGACGAGGGCACGTACGCACAGTGCAGCATGTCTACCGGCGGGCATACACCCGGGGGCACGTTTCTCCGTCTACGTGCGGCTGGCACAAGCCACGTTATTGTATTAGACTGGTATCGGCCTCACTCTCTGCGACGAACAGTCGGCCGCGAACGCGAGTGCTAGCCAGAGTCAAAATCTGAGCGGGCGCAGGCCATAGCATATTGTGCAAGGCGTCAGCATACATGTGATTACATTGTATCAAGCGAACCAGACAATGCGTCTAGACAATACGCCTTGTCTGCAGTGTACTGTGGAGGCGTGTGTAAGAAACGAAGTAAAAGAACGGTGTAAAATGAAGCGCGAGCGATGAGAGTTTCGAAGGCAAACAATTGTCATAATAAAAAAAAGATGAATTTTCTTCCTTTTATTGATGTAGTTTGTTCAAAATGTTAAAGAATAGGCGACACACATGCGTCCCGGGAAGGGTCGGTACGCGAGACGCGGGACACATGGGCAAAATACGGGACGTCTGGTCACCCTGATTGCTAGCTAGCTGCCGACTGGTGCTCACGTGTTGGACTCCGAAGCGAAACTGCAGCGTTCGAAAGTTCGCAGTAGAATAACTGAACTATTCATGAAGATGATCAGTATTTTAATCCGAAGTGTAATGATTAGTGCTTTGTAAGTTTTTTAGGCATTTCCTCTGTCTTTTTACGCAACCGAAATATTGAAACTTAGACATGGCTGCTTTTCTTTTGAATGCATGCGTACCAGGCTACTTTGTTGATATAATTATGGTTCTACTTATCTTATTAATCTGCAATATTTTATTTTTACAGTCTGCAAAGCCTGCCAGACATTTTAACTTTCATGAGATAAATGTATGTTTTATTTAACATGAAAAGCCAATGTGTTGTTGTTTTATTACAGTACTTGTTTAATATTTGCATGCTCTGTGACTTTGATCTTCTTGAACGTCTGAACTGATCGATAGCATGTGCACGCGCGTGTTTAGATAAATAATGAGTGAAAGTAGAAAAATGGATGCAAGATTCTGGTGAAAATTTGATGCCGTGGACTGGATAATTCAAATGTATGTCTCAATCATCAATGTCAGTGTGTGCCATTGTGGTGGGTTTGTTTAAAGACTTGTGCAAGTGCATCAGACGGCCGCAATTTTCAAATATATACAATACGAGATTGAAATAAAGATTTATGTTTTTCTTTGTTTTTTTTCGGCGCCCCAGATTTCATTTTCGGGCCACCAAAAATTGAAAATCAATGATTTTGTGGCCGATCGGGCCACTGAAAAAAAAAGTTAGTGTCGAGCCTTGTATTATCTACTCTTGATTATATTTATATTGATGTAAATGACATTGGTTTTATTGGGACCCATGTTCTCTATCCTTGAACCGGTATGCGCATGTATAATTCATAATTGTATTGCGTGATTACAAAATAATAATTGTCTGATAAAGAGGGCCCTCGATATCTGTAAGTGTAAGATATAATTAATGACTGATGGTTATATATAACTTATGATTATGACAATCAGGTACTGAGGTAGGGGCTGTTGTTGAAGACAAACAGTCGTATAAATTGTAGGGGCGTATTGCCCATGTACTAGAAGTAGAAGCACTCGAAAATAACCAAACAGAAACAGTGTGGAGTAAAACTGCGTACAAGAAAACCATAACCATTTCAATCTTACCGCCCTGGATAAATATTGATGCTGTGTATTTATAATTAGTAATGTTTACTTCCTTTTTTATTGTTCCATTCATATATACGTACTAAAATCTGGGTTTAATAACTTGACGTCTTCAACGTGTCACTGTCACTGTCACAGGAGTTAACTTCGGTTCAAACTGCAGGCAGCGCCCCCTTGGGATTGAGCTAGACTGGTACTCGCTCCCACCTCGATTACTCGATGGTGGGGCGAAAGGTAGGACCGGTGGGACCTAAGGTAGGACGAAAGGTGGGACCGGGTACCAGTCTAGGGATTGAGCCAAAGCGAGAGCGCCATCTGTCGTGGAGTTTGACCGAAGTTAGCCG